TGATTAAGCAATATAAATTTTACCTTGCCAATATTTGACAAACTCCTCTGATAATGGTGTACTATTATTTTTGTAAGATAAATATGAGGTGTATGCTTGTTCATTTTCTGAAAGCGACAATATATAAGAAGCCAGATCTTCGGGTGATGAAAATTGATCAATTTGGATCAATGAATGATTTGTAGGTGCAAATGGAGTATAATCAGATGGTCCGTCTACTATAGGAACAACACCTGCGATAAATGCATTTAACAACTTTTCAGTCACATAATAATCGCAGTTTGAATTTTCAAAGGCAAGGTAAAATTTATATTGCTTAATCAAATCAGTGATCTTTATTGTCGCTATCGAAAGATTATTTATTAAGAAATGTGTTAGTAAATAGTTTTTTTTTATATAATTGAATTTACAATAATAAGGTTAAGATTATGGGAATTGAATACATTATCTATCTATGAATTAGACACTTACGATCAGGCATTTCTTGATTATTAATACTTTACCATAAATATCTATGTCAATGTATTTTAATAACTCCTTGACATAATAATGTCTACCGTTTGAAGCATGACAATTTGAAACAACCCAAGCCACTGGAACTTGTTTACGATCTTTAAATTGATAACTTGGAGATCTAATTATTGCTGTCAAATCTTCATCCAGATAAGTTGACGGAAAGTCAGAATCAAGACGGTATGATAGGCTATATGATATGTAATAATTTGTAATAATTCAATTGAATTTAATATTAATTATTAAAGTACATATAAAAACTTTATGCGTACCTAAATTCAAACATTTTCATCTTATCATCATCAAATTCCCATTCGCGAGCTGGTGCTTCTGCACTATAATAAACCCAGGGCATTTTATTATTATATATATTTCTGATCTCTTTATCAGGTAAATCCTCCCAATTCACGTCCGGAGCATGAAACACTAGCAAATGACTTTGAATTAAATAGGTAGGATTATGCGTTATAAGACATGGTGGTAAATCTGAACCGCAATAGTCTATTCGATAATGTTCCCAGGTTTGTTCACCGAAAAACGGTGTCCAGTTTAATATTAAGGTATCGTTGTTTTCCATTAAGGTTAAAAAAGGTGTGCAAGTCGTCAATCATTAAATACTGTCATGGTATTACAAAAAGGGACCATTAAGGGATTTCATATTTCGCCCCAAATTTCTATTGGTTATTGTCAGTGTTACGGTAAAACAAAACTTTCAACCGGGCAACTTCCGAAGCTTCCATAATTAGGCTAATGTAAATCAATTGCCCGGTAACTTATAAATAAAGTACTTTTTAACAACTTATCGTTTCAAAAATAAAATCCAAAAAGCCATTTATAACTTTAAACGAACGTTAATATTCACTGAATCTGAAAAGAATCCTCCCGACTGTGCTTAAAAAACAATAACAATTTGATTGTGCGAACAGCAATAATTTTTTTTTACACTAACATTGACCTATCGCTATGCGAGGATCACCCAGATTTGTCAGTTTGTGTGACAGAAAATAAATATTCATGTGAATGCAAATTGTTTGCTTATTCATCTGGCTCCTTCGTGATTGGCCTACCCTTACTCATTATTGCATCTGTACCCTGCTCATTGTCATATGTAACAAATAGAATGTTCCGCCTCATAATGTGGGCTCGTACTTGTTACATTAATAAAATAGAATGTGCCTAGAAAGAAAGAAACGCCTTGCTTGTTGTCATGTGTAGCAAGTGAAGAGAATGTAGCAAAATGGGGCACAATTCCCATTACGCACAATATTTTCATAATTATTAATAAAGAAATCCGAGCGAGAATAATATGTCTATCAGCATTCCCATCTTTATAAACTTATAAAAATAAATAAATGCCTTATATTCATCCTTTTCAACACCGATTCTATTTCGACAATATCTAAGGTTATATGTTCAACCATCATTCTATACCTACAGATTTTTGACAATAAACAAGAGAAAGCTATAGAACCAGATATTTTGAAAATATAGTTTACCAAGGTTTCATGAATATTATAATACCGGCTGTGTTAAAGTCACAGTGGGATATTATCACGAAGGTTCCCTAATCATATAATTACGAAACTTACGAAACTCATTAGATTTATATTTTAACTAAATAATACCTCATAATAGATAGTACAAATTATAACTTAATTACTGGGTATTATTAGGGATGGGCCACTGCGCAGACATTTTTGAGAGACTGCGCAGTGTAATTTTTATAATTCAGGGCAGGCTTGAATTAACCAATCGAAAATTCATTCCGAATCAGTCCGAAAGAAAGACAAAACACGGAGGATTTGTATGTAATTGTAATTTTTATCATATAATGTGAAGTTTATTAAATTTATCATTCGCATAATTATTTTTTGTTTTATAAAAGGTGATTTTAAATAAAATTTTAGTATAAAATTTTATACGCACTAAAAATGGTTAAAACTAAAAAAGTTGAGCTGTGAGATCAATTTAATAGATGAAAGAGGAAAAGAACGTTACAATTGCAAAGCATGTGGCAAGGAGTAGGCAAAAAATGCAACTAGATTACAGGAACATTTAGATGTATGTTCTTTACGACATCTTACGTATTGAACTAAACAATTCATAAACAATAACCGTAAATAGGTAAAATTATTATTATTTGTGAACCAGGAGAAAAATTTATTTCGAATGACATGATCTGGTTGCAATTTTTCGAGCCAAATTTACAACTCATAAGATTAAAGCACATAAACTAAAATTCTGAGAGCCCTACTATGTTCTATGAGAAACTGTCTTAAAATGAGAGGACAAAGATCTAGAGATAAGACATAGTAGCGAATAGAATTATAAATTGCATTTGCAGTCGATACAGTAGGTAAAAAGTTTAAAGTCTTTTATTTCCAGCTAATTACTAAAGGGTATTTAAAAATCGAATGGCATGAAATTTGGCAACTTTACTAAACGTTACTCTGGTTATATTGACACCTCAAAAACATGAAGAAATTGCCCAATATATTCAGATGCGGTTTAGCCAGAGGCATTTTCATATTGAGTATATAGGTTAAAATTTTTAAAAAAAAAACGTTTATAGCTAGATGTCGGTATATCAAGATGTTGATATAACCAGAGTGACGTGTACTCAATTTTAAAATGGCAAATTTTTAAAATTTATCAATGTTCTCCTATTTTAATGTTTCATTTTTAATTTATCGAATAAAAACCTTTATACTAGAATTCCTGACATCTTTTTAGCATACTGATTATTATCGAAAATTAAAGTATGTACAAATAATATAGTACCATTTGGTAAATCATATATTTATTTATTTTATGAAATTTTTAACTAAATTTTATTTAAGCATTAATATAATTTTTTACAAATATTTTTATAACAAAAAGGTAACCTTTGAACATTTGTATAGTGTAAAGAACTTTTAAGAAAATTTTGATATAAACTATATCCCGACAAACATTAAGGGTTTATTTCATTATTATATATTACACCACGTACTGATGCTATAATACCATCAAATTTACAAATTTAATCACGTAATAAATAATCGATAAAGTTGGAACACTACATTTTAAATGCTTATATGCGCAACAAATGACCAGAATTAGAAGACTAGAGGGCTCATATGCATCACAATGACAGGGCTTATCATGTGAGCGTTGCGAAATATATACTTCAGAGTATCCCGTGCCCATTAAATAAACAGGAGCGACTGTTCAAATCGTAGATGATTCCTATGCAAGCACATGTGATTGTCAACAAATCATATCTTGAGTTTTAGTAAATCGGCCAATCAGATTACAAAAAAAAGTTATGGGATTCAAAAGAATATGTTATAGAGCAAAGCAAAAACATTAATTCATCCGTTAAATTTACTCTTGTTTCATATAAAATTCAGATACCCGAGTTTTTAAAGGAAGTATTGTAAAAGGTTTAAAAAAATTATTCATAAATTGTGTAACCATGTCTGAATCATCTACAGTCGCTCATGTTTCATTAAATAGCAGATAGGGTAGCTGCGATAATCTTTACGTAAAGACTATTTATCATGTTTAATAATCTAATTTAGCTAGCACAAATTTATGTCCGAACTAATGCAATTCAGCTTGAACTATGGAACAATTTGAACAATTTTCATGAGGTTGATTCTTATTTTAAAGATTACTATGCTTAAGGTTATTCTAGTAATCTATTCCTTATTTTATTTAATGTGGTGATTTTATTGAAGGAAATATATAATATAAATTTTTTTATTTATAATATAAAATGTGATAATGATTATAAGCATATTGTATATACGTATTTTTATAAACAAAAATATTATCATTTAAATTTGTGTGATTATATAGTGAATATATGTAATTATTGGAGATGTTGCTAAATATCCGAAATCAAAATAGTTTATAAAATATGTTGCGAATGATTTTGAATTTCATTTAGAATGGATTCAATTTTTTTATCAAGGTTTTCAATTTTTTGATATAAATGTTCCCTCTCAATAGGTTTACGAATATTAAGTATTTCTCTCAACTTATCAGAAATAAATGGCTTTTCTGAATCCTGGTCTTTATCAATTTCATTGATTTTATAAGTAACATCTTTGACTGATTCGTGATAAGAGCTTAAGATAAATTTTAATTAAAATTACTGACATTATTATAAAAAGATTTAGTATAATCAAGGCTCATTTTAATGACCTTTGGTTCTATATGCATATTTCACCCTTGTCATACAATGAGCTTCGATCATATAATATATAATTCTTACATTAATTTGGGAAACCAACTCTTCCATCTCCTTTGAAAAGGTAACAAATAAAAAAGCTCTATCTCTTTGATAGGGTGAGTGGCACGGAGGTCATCGGCATGCCAGGGTGGCATGCCTATGGTGGCATGCCATAGGCATGCCCAATGTCCAGATTGCCTATAGGCATGCCATTTATATATATTCCGAAAGGTTCCGAATAGAAAATAAAATAATCAAAATTCCGAAAGGAACATTGGAGCAATGCTCTGAAGTATTCCGAAAGGTTATTTTATAGTATACAATAACTGACCAATCCCAATTGAGTATATTATCGTGTGGTTTAATGGCATGCCAGGGTGGCATCCTGGCACGAGCTTTAGCGGTTGGCATGCCATATGGCACGCAAGATTTTTTAGCCGTGCCACTTACCCTACACTCAGCCCATTTGATCTTCTATTAAAAGTTTCAACATGTGACATCTGGACTGACTGATATCCGCATATTTTAAGCCTTAATTTTTTTAAAAAAGTATGCTAATTCATTATAAAGTTTAACTGTTTCATATGTTTGAAAGTCTCTAGACAGGATCTTTTTTATTAATTACATTGATAAAAACATAATAGTTTTATAACTAATAATATGATGTTTGATAAAACTATTTTAAGTTTGTAAAATGTTTCATAATATCAAATGTTTGATTAGACTTGATATATAAAGTATTGATGAATGGCGAAACAATTGATGAATGATAGATTTATAGTGAATGAACAATTGATAATTAATGCAATTATCAACAAAACTTATTATAAAAACAAAACATTCTATGAAAAGATAATTTATAGCTTTGACAAAACCCTTGTTATGAAATCAAAAAATTTTATATTAAAAGCTTCCTCTGCCCTAACCCTATTTAACTCTTGATTCTTTTTATTTGTTTGTTTTCAATACATCTGACCTTATGGTTTGCACACAACACTCACACAATTTAACCCCAAATCTTGCCTTTTTATCAGTATTTTAGTTTTATGTAAATAAAATTGAATAGAATGTTCATGAAATTAAAGACCTATTTTAAATACTTGGATTAATAAATATTTTTTATAATTATTAATTTCAGTAAATTAAATGATAAAACTGCATTTATGAACTTAAATAAATTTCTTTATATATTCGTGAATTTGAATAGCTTATTTTAAATATTTATATTACTGCGATTTTCAAATTAATTGATTATATATCAAATACCACACGAAAAGCTAGGAATCTGGAAATTTTTCAAGTCTATTATTAGCTTAAAAATAAATTTATCCGATTAAAGTATAATATTTTCTGTTTTC